TTTTTTTGGGACCATTTCTCTATTTATGAGTGTCATCCTTGCGCAGGGGCCATGCTTTTTTTTCTTTTTTCTTTTTTTTTTTGGGTTGAGATTTCGTATACGGGAAACCTACTTAACGAGGTGATAAGAGCATCCCATGTAAGTAGGACCCGGCGTCGAAGGCTCCATCTATTGGTGGGGAGCTACACCTGTTGGAAATGGGGTCCAGCGTCCCGATACAATGATGAGAATGTATCTGCTGAAAATCGGATCCAGCATCCCTATACAATGATGAGAATGTATCTGCTGGAAACGGGGCCCAGCGTCCCTATGCAGAATTGTGTGGACAGCTCCATCTACCTATGTATGCACTTTAAGCAATATATGTGAGAAGCAAAACCCTAACGAAGATGTAAAATATGTGTGATGTTTGTGATGTATGTGTTCAATATCTATCAAAATCTAAATACGAAACTCTTAAAAAGATGTGATGTGATGTGATGTGATGTGATGCGATGTGATGTGATGTGATGTGATGCGATGTGATGTGATGTGTATGATCTTTATCAATCAAGATATTAACAGGAATCACTATCACTTATGTAATATGTATGTTCTGGATCTCGAGTCCATATACCTATTGTCCAAAGGAGAGCAGGGGCATTGATTACTTCCCTGCGCAAGGGAAGGATTGACCACCTGCAAACTACTCCCTAAGCATCCCACCTCCCTCCCACTGGGCAATCAGCACCCCATTGTTGATGAATATTGCGGGCCGAGCAACACCAAACAGCATCTATTATCCTACTCGTATCCTCAGCCAGACAACGAGGTTGAAAGGGGGGGAAGGGGGGGGAAGATGGCAACACCAATCAACATCGACTATCCTACTCCTATCCTCAGACAGACAACGCGGTTGAAGGGGGGGGAGAGGGGGAAGATGGTAAGCTTCTTATCCGTGTCAACCCCAATCCCCACCACGTCAGCATGCATCCTCTCTCCCTTCCGGCTGATGCTCTCTACCCCGCTGCTGCCATGGTAATCGCTACCGCCGTCATCAGTACTGCTGCCTTCATCGTTGTTGTTGATGTTGTCATCCCCAATCCCCACCACGCCCGTTTGTGGCATCTCTCTCATCATGCTGATGATGGTCTGAGATGTGCCACCCTCAACCCTGCTGCTCACATCCGCTCGCGGCATCTCACCCATCCTGCTGATGATAAACTCAAATGCGCGGACATCGCTCTCCCCCCCGCCGCTGCCGTGGTCGTCGCAGCCATTGTTGTTGTTGTTGTTGTTGTTGTTGTTGTTGTTGTTTGCCCCGTTGTTGTCGTGGTCAACACTGCTTCCATCGCCGTTGTTGTTCTTGTTGTTGTTGTCGTTGTTGTTGTTGTTGTTGTTGTTGTTGTTGTTGTTGTTTTTGTTGTTGTTGTTGGTGTTGTTGTTGTTGTTGTTGTTGTTGTTGTTGTTGTTGTTGGTGTCGTTGATGCCGATGTTATTGATATTGTTGTTGGTGTTGTTGTTGTCCTTGGTGTTGTCGGTGTTGTCGGCGCAAATATCTTCGTCGCGATTATCTTCGCCTTCATCCAATCCGCCCTCCACCTGGTCATCCATGTCGCCCTTGTCGCTCATCTCTCGCATTCCCTGCCGCGCCTCTATCTGGTTGCGAAGATTGCGGCCCATATATAAAGAGGGCATTACAAGCACCCATCCTATCATTCGCTCTTCTCCAGTCGATGTAGGCCTCAAGCCCGAGATCCGGCCCCTCCTCCAGCTCCCACATGATGTCTAGCATCTCCTGGATCTTGTCTGCTAACCACTGCTCCATAGAGATCTCCCCTCCATCAATCTCCACCCCCTCCTGCCGCAGCATGATCATCCCCACTATCGTTTGCAGCTGCTTGCACCCCTCGTCCAGTTCAATGAGCCATCCCTCTGCTCGATGTTGTAACTCCGCCACCGAATCCATCTCTCACCCGACTAACTGCGCCACTCACACGGTTCCACTTATCAATCCACAACTGGCGCTACCCCTGTACACGTGTCGCAGGACGTCCACGTCTCCAAACAATAGGACCAGGTGCCACATGGCAAAACGCCACTAGCACCTACCGGGCACGTGCGCAGGCCCAGCAGTCAGGGAGCTGTTCTCCCCAAGTGCTGGTCAAGCCGGGGCAACCGGGCCTCACCGGTCGACCGACTACAAGGCGCTAGCACTAGCGCAGTACACTGAGCATGCCGGTGCAAATCTTCTCTGTATCGTTCCAATTTTAACAGATGTCCCGAAGGACATGGTTCCAGTTTTGAACACTCTGCCATGGCTGCAGCGGTTAAGGCATCCGGCCGCTGAGCCATTGATCATTGGTTCGATCCCTTGAGGGGTCGACCGCAACAAAAAAATACTGACATATGTCAGCGCGGTAACTAGCCAGGAAACTGTACCCGGACAAGGTCGCTATGTGTGCTAGGGCCACAGGGGGCCTGTAGGAGGGTCTAGAGGGATATGTCCTGGCCACAGAGGGGGGCTTGCCGGAGGGTCTAGAGGGATCATGATGTCTTGTGGGGAGTGTGAGTTCATTCTGCGGCCGCAGCGGCCGTGCAGGGGTGGGGTTGATATCACTACCGGTATGGTTCCACTCTCACACACCGCGTCACATCGCCGCGTCACATCGCCGCGTCACACCGCCGCGTCACACTTGCAGTGGTGTGACGCATCACACCTGCAGTGGTTAAGGCATCCGGCTGTTGAGCCAGAGATCGCCTAGTATTTGATTCAATTTTGGTTGTACGGTTGACCGGAGCGACTGAACAGGACCCCAAAATGGTATAGGCAAAAGTGAATAAGTCACAGTGCATCCAATATTACCGGTGCAGTCAATCCCTTGGACTCCAGGGCATGTGACGCGCAACCTCACACCCTGCGCTGTCTTCCGTTCGGAGTGTTTAATTTGTGGAAGGGGGCCCCGAAAAGATAGCGAGATGGGGTGTGCCAAGGATTTTAGGAAAATTGAGTGTGGGGACATGGACAGAACCAAAGTCCCCCGTGCTGGTCCGACTTGGTAAGAGGAGAAGGTCGGTCACTATGCGAATGTCAAGGGAGAGAAAGGCACGTGCGAGACGTTCGGCGCGGCGAAATTCAATTCAAAAAGTATCGTTGAACTTCCCAACGGGCCGCTGCCCTTCGCTTCGCGTGAAAGGGGGCGGGTACACATTTGGTGTCTCGTTTTCGGTTAAAGTCCCGACGTCTCTCATTGCACAACTCAGAGTCTGGCGTGGAGGGTCTTAATCGCGTAGCTCGTTCCTTGTGTTCGTCCTCACTCCGTACACGGTTATGGAAGCATTTTGATTGGTAACGCTCAAGGCGACAACAGTCGCTGCACAGAGTGTTAGGCCAATGGGGCACCACTGTCGTCCACGGATTGACAATCAATTCGTTGAATGGTAACAGCAGCGAATAAGGCGGAAAATGCGTATCAATGATGACAAAGCCCGCTCTGACAAATCCTGAGCATTGAGTTTCAGGAGGGAAATAATATCGGCTGCCGATCTTGGCGACGGCTTCTCGTACGTCCCACTCACATACACGTGTCCTTTTCTCGTTATACGGAAAGGGACGTGGCGGGAGTACGGGAGGCCGACGCCCAGTCTGGGTGGGGCCTTCAGTCCACATGGCAATCTACTCAATTGCAAGAGTCGGTATCAGTCATTCATCTTTAATCCCCCGTTTATCGATCGGATTCTTGCCTTTATTTATCCGAAACGTGCGAAGCAAAGTGGGAGCATTCCTTCGCTTCTCAGGACGAGAAAAAGAGAGAGAGAGAGAGAGGGAGTTTGCAATGGTCTATGGATTCACCAAGAAATTCTCATACAGGAATCGTGGGGACAATACGCACATCAGGTGGGACAAGGTCGATGATCTGCTCATGCCGGTCGCGCGTGTCGCCCTTCTTCCCTCTGAGAAGACAGATCGCCTGTCAGGTTGTGCAAAAAGCATTTCGAATCACATTATCGACAGATATAAACACTCTTGCATTCTCGAACAAAATCCCAACAACATTGTCCTTGCCAATAATTCAATCATTCTCATACATCCTATTGCAACAACCCTTCAGCCTAATCAAAAGACCAGTCCATCAGCGACAATCTTCATTCGTGGCGACTCGTCGCGGAAGGTGCGAAAATGGCAGAAATACACTACTCGGTTTTCCACGTGTTCCGCACCCCTGCCCCGTTATCCCTTGGCTAATCAAAACGTCGGCCCATTAGGCAATCATTCCATGACAAACATACATAGTCATAGGGTAAGTAGGGAGAAGAAGTGTGAAATGGATACAATACATGACAATCATACAAAAACCCAGAAAAAAAAAAGAATTCTCGGCTTAATTGCCGTGAAGTTTCACTCATACCAAATAATAGACTGGAAACAAGGAGGCGCATCTGCCGTAAAGATCCGTTATGGCCCCGTGCCACTCATCCACTCAACTCTGGTCACTATCCTCATACATGCACCAACGATCCCGGTCGCCACGTGCCACCTGCCACCATTGCGATCGTCACCCCACCGACTTAGTTTCTGCGCGGGCTTGCCTCGATCCCTCAGTCCGTCGTGGCGATCAGGCGCACAACCAGCCAATCTACAGTCAGTCCGTCGGGACTTTTCGACTCGCACCACACGCACATCATCTAGGCACTGCTTCCCGGAAGCTGGCTGACGAGTTGAGAGAGAGTTTTGCGAATGCGCCGACGGAATTTATAGTTGCGAGAAGGGAGAGGGATGCGGGGAAAGATGAAGAGTAGGGTAGAGGAGGGTGAGGGAGGGCTTGAGGGTAATCGCCCATTGAAAGCCATGTTGATCCCTCACAATCCGATCTCAGCCAATCAGAATCGTCGCGCAGTAGGAATCTCCTCTTACACGGCGCTTCTCCTTGGCTAGACGGGAAGAGAGGATCGACCGAGTTTTCAAGCGGGAAGAAGAAGAGTGCGAAGGATAGCGCGAAACAGATCCAAGATTCAGATGATCAAGAAAGAGAGAGAGAAAAAAGGCGCGCGCGGGGAAGGAGAGAGAAAAACAGTTACTGGGGGAGGGGGCGAGAAAGCATGTGCGCGCGAGGGAAGGCGTTGAGAGGAGCGCGAGAAGGAAGAAGGAGGAAGCTCGTTTGCATGGCGCCGAACAACAAAAGAAAAATAGGCACCGAAACAGTTGCAGTTTTTCCCAGCCCTATGCTAATTCAAAAATTGAAATAACCATTTCCGCGCGAAAAGTAGACGCGGGAAAAGAAAGAAAGTCCTACGCCCGTTGCTATTCCTACAAAATTCCCCGAGTTTTCCATGTCGAGGCCGAGAACATTCGCGCGTGAAGGGACACGCCGTGTTCCGTTAATTTCAGAATTCCTAACTGTCGAGCCAAATTCCGAGCGTGCTCACTAAGGCGCGTGTAATTCCCATGCATTTCCAAAATAAAAAAAATGACGGAATTTCAAGAACTACTAGTGCTGACAAACATACAGATTTCGACGAGGTACCTTTAATTGAACAAAAACATAGGGAGAAGTTCTCGGGAGCCGATCAAGACGCATCTAGATGCAAAGAAAACACGGGATAGGAAGGAGTCCGAAAGATGGCGCAGGTCCGGAAGTGGGTTTGTCACAAAGCATTGCTGACAAGTTTCTGATTCATTTGCCTCCAACAAATTCGGGTTATCTGGTCTTAAGCCACCAGTACTTGGCCCAGCTATCGGCCGCGGTGCTTTCCCGACACCTTTAGGGCTTCGGGGTACCGGATCACAATGGCTGGAAGCGCCAGCCAAAAAACAATTGAAACTGTACCTCGGCGCTTCGGCATTCCAGGCTTGGCATCGATAGCTGGTACTTGGCCCAATCGACCGTGGCGCTTTCCCGTTAGCGCGCCGCGCCTTTAGGGCTTCGGGGTACCGGACCACAATGGCTGGAAGCGCCAGCCAAAAAAAAAATTGAAACAGTACCCCGACACTTCGGCCAAAATTGGCACGCAGGGGCATTCCAGGCTCGGCATCGATAGCTGGGCCAAGTACTGGTGGTTTAAAGGGATGCTGGACCTGGTTTCCAGCAGGTGAAGCTCCGCACCAATAGATGGAGCCTCCCCTGGGGTGATATTGGTGCCTGCTCCTACCAGCATCACTATCACCCGTGAGGAATGTTTGACAAAAAAAAAACAAAAGGTTTGCTTTTTTATTTATTTATTTTTTTTTAAATTTTTTTATATAACATCCTCACCGGTGTTAGTGGTGCTGATAAGAGCAGTCACCAATAGCACCAGGGAAGAGGCTCCATCTATTGGTGGGGAGCTTCACCTGCTGGAAACCGGGTCCGGCGTCCCTTTTAAACCACCAGTACCTACCGGTTGTCAAGGCCCGTGGCTCAGGCTACCGGTAGCCCGGTCATTGCCGAGCCTCGGACTTTATTGCCGAGCCTTGGGCAACCGGTAGTACACAATGGGGAAAAAAAAAAAAA